CAGGGATCATCTATTAGCCAGGTGGGGTCTTCTGTGGTATGTTGGGTTCATTGAGTGAATTGAGAAGGATGGAGAATGGTTTTGATAGATTATATATGTGGTGGAAAGAATACACATTAGTTTAATATAGTGAACAGAACACCATATCCTAATGCTGTCTCTCTTGTACAGATGTTGCGTCGCAGCGTGGAGCTCAAGGATTGGCTTGGATGTGGGGAGCCTCGCAGTGTGCGTAGGGTCATGAGGACTGTCCTGGAGGAAATATCAACCATGGACACACAGGTAAGAGAATAACCAATACAGTATGGGGTACATCTAGTTAAACATTTCTGAATAGGGTTTGATTTCAATAAACTTTTTTTATTGTTCATTTTAGAAAAGCCTTGCTAAGATGTGTTTTCTTCCTATTTCTTTTTATCTGGTCTTGACATTGCTAAATCCTTCATTAAACCAGTGATATAAAGCACTTTTTTTACTGCAGATATTAAATTTGTTTTATAACAAACATGATATTCGAACAGGTTGGAGCCCTTTATGAAGAAGGAAATCGTCGTGATAGATCATCAGATTCCTCTAGACGCACTTTCCACAGGTAGCATGATGTTTTACTTACTGTTTATGCCTGGTAACTCATATAAGGTAGTGTTCCCCCTTATAGTTTGACAGCAGAATTATTTATGTGATTATAAGATTGTATTAGGTTTGGTTTACCCCATTAATCATAAGTAATAACAAGAAAGGAGTAGCAAAAGATCATGAGGCTTTTTGATTAACAATCGTAAATTCAAAAAACTTTACGGACAGTGTGAGTGCATCTCGAGGGGGCGGTGGAGGGCGATCAGGCTGGTCAACATATACCCCAAGCCAGCTCGACAACAGCCTGGTGGCCAATCTCAACAAACTCTGGTCTGAGAGGATTGAGATCTTTGCACCAGTGGAATTCACAAGGGTGTCCATCCTCACTGGAATTGTTAAAATTAGTCTGAAGGTAAGAGGAAACAGAATTAGTGTAAAAAAAAGGAGTGAAAATAAAAAAACAAATGATATAAAAGGTTAGTAGTTATTTTTTGAGAGTATTACATATAGGTTTGCAGTAAAGTATTGTTAGATCTTCACATAAATGAAATGGTAAATTTCTTAATGAAAAATTTAAGTACGTGATAATTGAGCTCCTCTGAGGGGTGAGAACTGATGGAAATACTACACATAATGTAAACTCAGTGATTCAAGATCCCTCTTCAGGTACAGTACATAAACAGAATGTCAAATTGTGATTATGTTTATGGTGTGAGTGGACAAGTATATTCTTAGATATGTAAATAATACAATGGTAACAATAATCATCATTCATGTTTCAAATAAGATGTGTTCATTAATCTTTCAGACTTTACTAGAGAGTGTGCGCCTTAGGACCTTTAGCCGGTTCGGACTTCAGCAAGTACAGGTCGATGCTCACTACCTGCGCACATATCTGTGGTCTTATGTGGCTGATGAGCAGTAAGTCATTTGGAAGTTGGAGTAGTCAGTTCATGTCTCATGAATCTCAGTAGAATGCTAAATAGTTACTTTTTTCCACTTCTTTTTCTCTTCTTCTACTTCACCCATTTCTTCCTTGGAAAAAGAGTACTTTAAGAAATTAAATTTTCTCCTGTTAACCCAATGAATTTGGATGCTTGGCTGCAATCATATGTCCTGAAATACAGGCATTAGCTTTACGTGAGCATCCGGGCACTTGTGCACACACAAACACTCATAAGTGGTGATAAGACAGTATGCATCCCCTTTGCAATGTTATTTTCTCTTTTTATGCATAAGCATTTTTAGCTTTTTTGCCATTTTCCAATGTTCATATTTGTCATTTGATTTGCTCTATCCAGATGGTAGTAGACTCTTTTCCTTGCACAGATTCCATATCATTTCTCTAGGTGGTCCTTAACTTGGTGCAAGAATATTAACAATAAGTAACATTTTTTATAACACTTAATTTTCTCCTCTAGTCCTGGCTTACAATCACTACATTCCACACTCATTTACTGATGGAAATAATGCAAAAGACCCTTTTTAAATACCAAATGAGTCTTATCACCCTTCGAGAGATTTATGCACTCATGGCAAGTCTTTCTAGTCAGCCCAGCCTTCAGCCAAAATGCTCACAATGGCAAGTTCACATTACTATGGCCCACAGCCAGATTTTCCCATAACAGTATGTTCATGTCACCGACCCCTCAAGCCAAATTTTTTCATGGTGTGGTGGTCATGTCATCCGGATCATAAGGGTTATGAAGTATTAAATGGTCATATGAATATACTATCATATTCATATTTTTATTTTTGTGTATTAGAAGTCTCATAAACCTATGGTGAAAAATGGATGAAATTGATCAATATAAGTAATGGCCAGTAATAATAAATTGAAAGCTGATAATATCTCAGAAGTTATAATGGCAACACAACCCAGTAATGGTGATAACAATGATGAATTTATTTTCAATCAATTTACTTAGTTTTGTTTCTACCAAATTGTTTAATTCCTTTCTATTTGTCAAAATCACATATTGGTTAAAATTAAACTTTACTTCCTTTATTTTTAGTGTCCTGAATGTATTGCTGGATGAGGTAGTGACCTCAGCCAGCGTGCGATGCTGTGACCCTGAACTGATGGAACAGAGAGTCGTCGAGTTTATATGTGAGCAGAACTAATAAAGAAGCTGGCTGTAGATTTACATTTTATGCAGGAAATCTTGTGTGACAGGTGTATTTATCAATGGTATTGATTTTAGGATGAGAGAATGTATCAAGAGTTTGTGTGTGAGATGTAACATTTATAAAGTTTTTGATATATGTATACATATGCACACATGTTTATATATCCAAATAGACAAGCACATGCACATCCACACAGGTACACAAATACATATATACATATACAGTACACACTTACACTTTCACATGTATACACTCACATGCAGAGTGGAAAGCAAAAATGATTTTAATCAAGAAACTGTATAGCTTTTTTTTCAAAATAAATAAATGTTTTGCTAATACTACATAGCATACTAAACATTTAATATTATTAAAGTTATTTTAAATGAGCTGTATGAAGATTTTATATCCTTATCTGCCTGAAAGATGATTTTCCTTTATCCTAATACCCATGCAAGCACTTTGTGCATTGATGTTGATTGTGATTGTATGATTGTTGAATTGTATTTAGAACATTTTAAAAATATTTATTTTAGTAGTGATGCATTCTTTATATGCCTAATAAATTCATATCACAAGAAAGCAGTACATGGTTTATTTTTTAATACTTTTTGAACCTTTTGTCAAAGGGAAATAACAGGACAGCCAGCTAAGACTAAGACAAATTATGGCAACAGAAAAGAAAGTAAGCTCTCTCTCTCTCTCTCTCTCTTCTCCTCTCTTCTCTCTTCTCTCGTCTCGCTCTCTCTCTCTCTCTCTCCCTCTCCCCTCTCTCTCTCCTCTCTCCTGGGCTCTCAGAATCCCTCCCTCCCTCCTCCTCCCTCTCCTCCTCCCCTCCCTCCCTCCTCCTTCCCTCATCTCCCTCTCCCTCTCCTCCGCCTCTCTCTCTCTCTCTCTCTCTCTCTCTCTCTCCTCTCTCTCTCTCTCTCTCTCTCTCTCTCTCTCTCTCTCTTCTCTCTCTCTCTCTCCTCCCTCCCCCCTCCCTCCCTCCCTCCCTCCTCTCTCTTCTCTCCCCTCCCTCCCTCCCTCCCTCCCTTCCTCCCTCCCTCTCTCTCTCTCTCTCTCTCTCTCTCTCTCTCTCTCTCTCTCTCTCTCTCTCTCTCTCTCTCTCTCTCTCTCTCTCTCTCTCTCTCCTCCTCCTCCCTTCCCTCCCTCCCTCCCTCCCTCCCTCCCTCCCTCCCTCCCTCCCTCCCTCCCTCCTCCCTCCTCCCCTCCTCCCTCCTCCCTCCCTCCTCTCTCCCTCCCTCCCTCCCTCCCTCCCTCCCTCCTCCCTCCCTCTCTCTCTCTCTCTCTCTCTCTCTCTCTCTCTCTCTCTCTCTCTCTCTCTCTCTCTCCTCTCTCTCTCCCTCCCTCCCTCCCTCCCTCTCTCTCTCTCTCTCTCTCTCTCTCTCTCTCTCTCTAAGTAATAAACAAAATCTGTCTCATCATACCACACTTACAGCTGTTTTCATCCACCTTCAATCAGTGCATGTTTGTTTTTAAGCCATAGAGTCCCAGGTACAGTTTAGCTTTAAGCTTGGATTCTAATACCTTTAAGTGACTCTTGGACATGGCATAACCCAGTGCTAACAGGAGCTTGAAGCACCAGACTGGACCATGCACTAGGCACTGCATAAAGGATGCCACACAGAGGAAAAATCAGAAGTGCAAGAAACCCATAATTTTCCTATCCTCAATGACCTTGGCTATAGCATCCTCCTGCAACAACAGCCAAACAAGAGAACTGTTCAGCGCACAGAACAAGCTCAGGATATATATCATGGGTATACATGCCACTCGGAAAAGCAACCAGTCTTACCATGGCATGGACAGAGATACCTCCTTTTGAAAGAGTTAAGTCTGTGATTACTTCCATTTTGTGTGGGCCTAGGTATGTTTTCTAGGGGACTCAGGGGGCCAGACCTAAAGCATTCTGTACCCATAGTATGTGACCACAGTTTAAAATGTTTTGAAGCCAGAATAGGTGTATCAAACCCAGGTAAAAAATACTGTAATGGTATCAAAATCAGAAGTTGGTTCATGGGAGCTCAGTCTGACCTGTGGAAACTGGGCTTTAGAAACTTTTTATTTTATTTTAATAATTGTGCACCACTGGGGGATGGGATCAAAGCAGGTAATTGCAAATATAATAGGTTTACACTATAAGCACTGAAAATATTTGTAAAAGTATATAATTCAACTCTCTTTCTTAATGTAAGGATTGCTTAAAGATTATTAATGTAGGCAATTTTTCGATTTTTCAACAAACTAATTGATAAAAAAGAACAAAGGAAATATAACAGAAAAGAAATACAAACTAGAACAATTTGCTTTTTATTCAGGTGTCATATACTGATAAAATTATTCTATCAACCTTGTCTGATATTAAATTAGTTATAAATGTCTCTACATACCTTTATCATACCCTAATTGTACTAATTTCACTATATTTCGGTAGGAGAGAAGACAGGTTCCTAAATAAGCATGATTATGGAACTGACAAGACCAGAGTTGCTATCAATATATTAATTTATTATTACTGTAATAAAAGTTTACATTCTGGAGTTCTTAAATTATTATACTGAACTAAAATTACAGAAGGAAAACTGTTTGGCTATGGACTTGCAAAACTAGACAATATTAGCAAGATAAAAAGTGCTGTCAGAACCACTATAATTTGCTTCAGAAATAAAATATGAAATACAAGGATCACAGATTTGATTATTTGATGTCAACAAGATAAAATAATAATCTATAGAATGACTGAATTTCTTCTCTTTCCTAAACTTACTTGACTATCAATAAAATAAATTGTACTCATATGGGATACAATATCATTAAGTACAAAGAAAAAGCAATGACATCATATCACATCTATAAATATTTAAAAACAAGGTTAACTACATACAAAGACCTTAAATAAAGGTCAATTTAGTTTGTAATCTCTCGCATCAAAAATAAAGCCACAAAGTGTGTCACATATTTTTTATGTTCTTTAATTCAAATCAGTTTCTGTGGAAGCTTATCCAAAAATCTTGTGTGCACATGGAAGAAAAGACAAAGATCCAGCTGCTTCAGTATATTACATAAATCCTGTGCTGTGGTCATCTGCATCATAGAGAGCAAAGAGGTCACCCAGCATTTCCGCTGGCACCTCTGACTTCCGCAGCTGCAGTGAGTAGCATGCTTCTTCCACCTTGTGCAGACTTGACCTAAAAACAGTGACCTTATTGTAGAGATCCTTGGCTGGGATGTAACCAAGAGAAAGGAAGCCACCATGCATCTTTTTGAGGACCTCGCAGATCTTGTAGCATTTCTCAAAGTCTCCTGTGCTCACACTCTTGATGCAGAACCTCATAAGCTCCCCTGTGAGATCAGCAATTCCCAAGATGTATTCCTTAGGCTGGACAAGCACACTGAGGGGAACTAAGTCCGTCTGGTCTTCCTCCTGGTTCCCAAAGGTTACACGACGTTGCACTTCCTCATGGCTGATAATTGTCCCCGTCAGTAGAAAGTGGTGAAAGGACACAGCCTCAATGTACTCTTGGATACCTATGTAAAGAAACCGTGTGTGACTTATCGTCTATTCTTGTTTTAATCCATAAAAAAATAATTCTGGAATGTCCACAGAAGGAAAAACACATTATAGACTGTTTTCCATCCCTACCTGCAATGAGGAAGGGGGGGGGGGAAGCACATGAACCAATAAATACATTGTACAAGGAACTGAATGAATAAGGAAAATAATAATGAAAAAAGTAAAACAAACAACCAAAAAGAGAAATGGAATCAGAAAGTGAGAGGTCAAACATGCTGGGTCAGTAGGTTCTTGGGCAGCTCTGTGACAGCTGTCTGTCCACCACTCCCTGAAACAAAAAATCCTATTTTTTCAAGTTTTACTTGGGCATATTTTTATCTTACTAACCAGAAAATGTATATAATTATCATATGCCAAAAGTTATCTCAGTCACCCCTTGCAAATTAATGAAAATAGGGACATATTACCTTAAAATATAAAACATATAAAGCAACCGCAACAAAATATCTCAGTCATATAAAACAATATAATGTGTATTTAGATGCATGTACGTCTCAAATTCTGAAAATAATAAAAAAGAAACAGGCATGCTGAGGTCTGATGATGCCTGGTGCCAACTCCTTGACTGTATACCCCAAAGGCTAAAGTATAAGGCCTAGTACTGAGAAATGTTATAAGAAAGGGAGATATTTTGAATATGTAAACAGATAAAACATGAAAGAAACCCTTTTTTTTTTTAATATGAATTTCAAAATTAATATCTATGATGTCTGGAAAGAGACACCACAGAACGTGAGTCTAGGGGGAATGTGAGAATGTAAAAAATGGGGGAGTTGATTGTACGAAATATGCTTTACAGTACCAGATAACTGTCATACTATATCACATTCACAAGAAGAGACAGGAAATGCAACTGTTTGTTGACCTATATGGTCTACAAGGGGAATAAGGGATGGGAATGATTCGATGAATGTGGCTGGAGGGAACATGCCAAACATTACCAGATGTATTAGTGAACATTTCCTATATATCATTGATACTGAAAAAATGCAGGAAAAAAATGTTGTTGGTTTTTGACAGGCCTAATGATAAATAAATGATTAAAAGAAGCACTTAAAGGCACTAAAACCCTATACTCAGTAATGCTGAAGAAGTTTTATGATATTTGTAAAGATGTTTGTAAAAGATCTGTGGCCCCCCCAAAAGACCAGAAACAAAATCATCATACCATGAGATCACAAATCCTGTTGAGAATCAGGAATAGAATAAGAAAATGAAATAGGACAATTAATAAAGACAAAAAAGAATAAAATCTGAGATAAAGGAATTATACAATCTATTTGTATGTAACCAGAAAATTGTTGAAAACAGAGCAGAAAAAGCTGCAAAAAAGAAATGTTAAGTATTTCTACTCATATCCCAACAGCAAATTAAAGCCAAGGGTAGACACTGTGGCTCTTAGAGATGAGGGGTACTTTTTTAACCCCTGGGACATGAAAGGAAATAGAAAGTATCCCACCTTTGTGAGGTTAATCAATAAATATCACTTTCAAAGTTAATGCATTTTCAATACATGTAACTTTATTACCAAACCTTAAACATCAATAAATAAAGGTGATTACATCTTTTCCCCCACTTCTCTCCTTACCTGAAGTGAAAGCATTAACAAACTGGTGTGGCTCCTCATCCCTAAGTTCCATGGCAATATGCTTTAGGAGTGTACGCTCAATGTCATGCAGTTCATTTGTAGCTGATACCATCAATGCTTCCTTCTCCTCTTCACTCAGTCTGAAATATCCAGGGATATTTTCTTGAGAGATATATCCATTAAAAAAATTCTATATAATACTTATCCAAACAAAAAACTAATAGGTGCCATACATCAGGGGAAAATAGTAAATAAATAAAACCTAACTTACTACAGAATCCACAACAATTATAGGCAATAATAAATCACAATCAATAATTTGGTAAATCATTGTAAATAAACCTGTCTCTGCCTCTGCTTTCAGTCTCACCCAGGTATTCTCTGAAGGGAGAAGATGACCCTCTTACTGCGTACTGTCACATCACGGCTGGTCTTGTAAATACGTTCATATTTGTCATTCTTCTCATCCAGGGCTTTAGAGTACACACGAAAGAGAGTCATTAAGGGTGTGTCCTGGCTAGTATCTGGGGGCTTCTTTGCATTTCTGCGGCCATGGTCCCCCATGGTTAGTGGGCTGTCTTGTAGTGCCTAAAAACTGAAAAAGACATTATTTCGCTCTTTAAGTATAATAACTTTATCATTATATACTGTTGACATCATTACTGCAATTTCTATGAAATATTATCATTATTTAGCTTACTGTTTATAATTTTCAGTATCATTATATCCTGTCTAGTTACTTTTAATATCAGTACTTTTGACTTTTTTTTCCAAATCATCAGTACTACCATCATAGTTCTTGTCATCATAATCACTACTTAGTAATTATCTAGAACAAGACTACAAAGAGATTTTTAAAATATAATGAAATGCTCATAACATATATGCAAACAGTATAATAAAAAGAATTTGCACAAAATAAAGGTATGCCCTAAATTTATTAAAATCTATGGATCTATGCATCAAATGATGCCATGATTTCTGTGCCTCACACTACATAAATGACCAGCAAACCAGCATGTACATTCTAATAGATTAAACTTCATGGCTATTTATAATGTGAATTCTTTGGGGCCTCTGTAGAGGCAGAAAGTAAGGAGGCTTTATGTTGTTTTTTTTAGAATGAGTATCTACTATTTCTATATCAACAATCTGTTATACATGTATCATTCATATTCATCCTCAAAAATTTTAGTATAAGTTCCTTTTCTTATCCTTTATTATATGTGATCCACCAGAGAATGTAAAACTCAAGTGCACTACATAGCATAATTATCACTGATTGTTATGCACCAAAAGTAGCACAAGGGTGGCACAGACTCCTACAAACTGATTTGAAACATTAGTTTGCTTTTCAGCATTTCTGGCACCAGTTTGTTATGCTTCAATAGATCACTTGCTTTCCATACTGGTCAGTGATTATAAATATCATTTTGAGATAATCACCATTGCTACAAGACATAAGATGGATTTTGTATACTGTATCAGAATATATACACAATTGCTGATATGAATATCTTAAGGAAATAACGAAAAAGTAGAATTGCCTATTAAGTTGTAAATAATACATGTTGCTGTCGCATATGTATATCCACTCCAATCAGCTTTTGCCAGTTGATTTTTTAATTACATTGTATCAAAATGCTTTCTCTTTACAATGTCGAGCATTTTAGTTAGCATAAAACACCATTAGTCCGTATTTCATTCCCGATAAAACACAAACATTTGTTCTGATTTTTCCCTTTTAATCTGAAAAATCCTAAGAGAAAATCTGTTTGTGTGAGCATTCTAGCACGCTAACCAAGACAACGATATCATATAACGAAGGTACAAGACGACGAAACTAAGAAGAAAAAAAAAACGTTTTGCTTTACGCCTGAGAAACGTTGGGAAGACCCATAACTGACATAGCCTTTAAGCAGGCCCATTTATTATATCGATTCATAATCCCAAACGCTGTACGCAGGATTTCTTTCGGCCTTTTCCCTTTTTCCATTAAACTTAAGATCAAAAAGGTAATCAATTTGCCTTCCTTATTTTAAATTGTTTAAAAAAAAAGAACGGCGAAAAATTAACCCCAATTTTTTTTCTCTCGTCTTTAAAAAAAAAATTGGGGGAACCGGG